TTTATTTCATATATACAAAGAGGACTCAGACAGACACCGAGTATTTTATCTAACGTAACCTTCAACCCAGCGTCTGTTTTTTTTTTTCGGAGTTCAAAATGTTTTTGTTGCAGAAGTAAAAGGTGTTTTCCTCTGCAGCAGCTCACTGGTTTCAGAAAAGCAGCAACACTATAGTTTTTATACACAGCATGAAGGTACAAACCATGTATGCAGGGTTATCTTCACGTTAGATGTCAGACGGGTTCTGTGGCTCCTGGTGTTTTCTGTTCAGTAGGAAACGGGTCCAAACGGATCTCTGAGTGTTCAGGTTACCGACTCCTGATCTATGCACAAGAGCAACTTGACTGATTTCATGAGGAGACAGTGGTTCAGGTTAACAGGATGTTAAACAAGTCGTGGTTTGGGTTATAATGGCTAGTTAGAGCAACGCTGTCGTCATGGTGACAATAATGAACATGTGGTTAAGAGCGGAGAATCATCAGGGTCATGTTTCAAAGAAGCAGCGGTCACTACCAGTTGGAGATCAGACCACAGAGATCCACGTGTTCAGATCAGATGCTGTGGTGACCTGGTCACCGCGTGGTCATTGTATATCTAGTAGTATCTAGGTAGTACTGATATTTATATTACTACAGTCATAGCCAGCCTGGTCCCGTGGACTCACCCTGGTCCTGTTACATCACAGCAACAGATACAGCAGTGTTCTTGACTTTTAGCATTGATATAGCGTGATTAGGTTCATTTTGTCTACTCTGACTGTAGGTATCAGGAACAACCTTATTCCCACTGATGTAGTCGTCTCATGCGTGCTGTGTCCCATCGCTCAGCCCGGTGCATAGCATGGATGCATCTTCCACATGAAACAGACACTCCAGCCTGGCAGCAATAAGAAGAGTAAGTCGAGTTTTTTATTATTATGTTTGTTTGATTGTGATGTGGTTGGAGAGTGTGCACGCTACTGGGAGCCTTGGCCAAGCTGGCAGGAGGGAAAACAGATTAGCATTTCCACAGAGTGTATTGCTGAAGCCCTGGAGGTGACTTCTGAGCTACCTCTGCTAGACTGGAGCTGTCAGAGCTGCTCCCCTCACGTCTGTGTCATCAGCAAACCAACACTTCCACCGCCGCTGCACGCTCACATGAGCAGACACACTGTATGTATATGTGTAGATATATGAGAGCTGGGTTCATATTCTGTCCTCATGCAGACAGAAGCGTACTGAGACTGAGCCGAGCTTTTCACTCCACTGCTTTGTGGCACCAAGCAGAGGACACTCAGAAACTCGGGGTAATATGCTGGACTGATACCGGACCGTAGCTGTCTTTCACGTAAAGGTTTAGAGGATGTTTTGCTCTCGTTCTGGTCAGAGGCGCTCAGCAGCAGGCGGCCATACGGCGGCTGGTTCTGCAGCACCAGCTCTGTGTGCAGGATATCAGTGAGCTGCAAGCACACATGTAGGAAAAATCCCATAATATTTGGCGTTGGGCTGCGTGTCTAATACGGTTTTGAAGGGATGTTATTATTACCACTTGAGTATGCTGCAAGGAACGATGACGTCAGAGGCAAGATGCTAATCATGAAGCGTGGGCTGTACGGACTCTGCCTTCACATGGAGCAAAGCCTGTGAGCTGCTTCAGAAGGACCACGGCAGGCCGCTGCTGCTCTCACGTGACCAACAGCATTCACAGCATTATACATTGTTTGGGCCGTGCTTTGAGCTGCTTGTGTTCTGTCCAGCCGTGTTGCAGGCCTGCTGCTGGGCTTGGTGCTGTTCTACAGCAGCTGAACATTTGCACCCCAACGTCCACCATGTGCTCTGGTTATATAGACAAAAGAATGAAGTGAGCTCTGCGTGGCCAAATGAAAGATCGGGGGAAAGCCGTCTGAAGACGCTAAAACTGGCTGCACAGGAACAATAAACGGTGCCGGTACTTCCCAGTCTGGACTAACCTCTCTAAACCTGTGAGACTCCTCCCTCTCTCTGGTCTGCACTCACCTGCCCACTACTGTGTAGACTGTTGTTCTGTGTTCTGAGGGTAAGTAGGTTACTGGAGGCAGCACCGGTATGGCTGCTGTGGTTGAACAGAGGAGCTGGTGTCTGGTTGTCTGACCAGCTGAAACCTCCAGCTTCCATGTGGACCTGTTGTTATTGTCACCTGCAGCCTTTGGGCCCGTTTTGAGTGGAGATACCAGCGTATAGATAATCTAATATATATTCAGTATGTATTCTAACATCCACATCTGTTGACATTTTCTGACCTCCAGTGTTGCAACAAAATGAGACGGACAGACTGAGAAACGCTGAGTCATGAAACCAAAAGGACAAGAACCATGTTGTCAGAAAGAGTCTACGTTTACGGCAGACGTGTGGCGTGGTGCTGATGCACATTCAGTTCCACTCGTGCAGTAAACACATGACTGAGCAGTTCTGTGTCCCGGCCCTGTTCAGCAGAACATCCCAACGCCTTTCAGTCCATCTGATCCACGCTAACGGCTCTACAGTCAACCAGTCATTTATTTTCAACACCTGCTTGTTAAAAATCAGGTGTTTGTCACCGTACATATAAAGATGACATGAAGCCGACTGTATAATCTATAGGTCTTTATTTATTTTTGCAGATAACATATATTGCAATCATGCTTTTTCATATAACACCATCTAAAGACATTTATTATATTTTTTACATATAATATTTTACATTAGGCCCATGAAACAGCTAGAAATATACAAAACAATATTCTCTGACTAGACATTTCTATTACATCATTATTATTATCATTATCTTCATTATTACTCTATTCTGTTATTGTCATGATCATTTTTACAGTTGAGAGAGATATGTGCTTTAGTTTCTGAGATAGTATTATTGCAGAAAACAGCAAATAATATCACTTTTTTTTTTCTTGTTCAACATTTAGACAAAACGAAAGAAAGAAACTCAGGTTGTACGGACGTTCACAGACACATGTAGTACACAGTCCAGTTACAACATCGTTCAAGAGAGAAAACTGCAGTATGGTAACTTTACACAAATCCACGGAACCCCTTTGTCATTGCACATTTTAATTCACATATCTTTGAAAAAAAAAAACATAAATTAAAGAAAAAACTAAGGGGACTGATTCAACCTGATTCCTGTCGCATGTAGCTGCCACAGAAGCGTCTTGTCTGGATCCCTCCTGGTGGTGATGACGTGATATCTGTGCTCTGTCTACATGTATGTCTTTATATTGCCAAGCACACCTGATATGTACTAATAGGTTTGTTATTCACCCTCTGACAGGAGTAGTTTAGTGGTGTTGGCCTTTACAGCGTCTGGCTATGTCCTGCTGTTTAACAGTGCTTTTGCCGGCTTTGTTCTCTGACTGAGCCAAGGCTTCTCTGTCCACCTGTAGGACTGGAAACCTGCACTCGCCACAGAATAGAACCTCACTATGGCTTCTACTGGAATACTGAGAGGATGGCGTAATAGTAGAACTAACGCTAGCAGAGCAGAGAGCACACAGAGACGAGGCAACAATTTGGATCAGCTTTCCAGTGTGCCCGAGCAGATGTCCGTCTTCACTCTGGTGTGTGTTCACCACTTTGATCTCATGGGAAATGGCAGATATATACCAGTAGTTTGATTTTTTAATACAGCATTCATCCTTTCAGTGTATCGTGGTAGTATCTGAGGGAATTTGGTCACTTCCACCTTTGTTCCTGAGGAGCGGGTTACTAATAGATATACAAGTAAACGGCTACAGCCAGAACAGTGGTCGCAGTAGAGATCCATCTCACTGCAGCTCATTGGCTCTGACTGTTTAAATATAAATCTGAATTAGCATTGGCTTGTTGCAACACAACACTTTCTTTCCACTTAACTGGTGGTCAAAGAAAAAACATCTACATTTTCCAAATAATCACTCTCAAGCAGAAGTTGAGCATGCACAGTGCAAATGTGGGGTTTCTGCAGAGCTCCACCTTTATTATTAGCGGTGGCAGTTCACAGATTCAAATTGTGCTTGTAGGTTGATGCTGCTGAACTCGCCTATTGCTCTGGGGATGCTTGATTCAGTCCATATCTAGTCGAACGTCTGCACCGATCTTTCAAACTACAGCATGATTTTGGTCCTTCTCACTCTCACAGATAGAAAACGCCCTAAAAATGATTCTACAAAAAAGATCCAGACGACATACAAAGTTATTGTTCTTTAGAAAACAAAGGAACAGTTATAACAGTCTCTTGCTATGTATCCTATATACGTTATTTTTGCTGTTGTCACAGGTTTCGATCATGCCAGAAAACAAGTTGGACCCTTCCAGACTGTACTTGTGCTTTTCTAATGAAGCCCGAGACGGGTGGTAAACACTTCAGGCGAAGTTCAGGGTTCTGCAGGGGAGTCATAGTCACTGATGTTCTACACAACGAGCACATTTGGCCTTACCTGTTGCACATTCCCACATTGTCTTTGCCTTAAATTGGTCAATATTCAGTTTTCACTTTACAAACTTTCAATTGGCTTTTTTTTCACCTCCCACGCTGCGTTCATTTTAATGTGTTTATTTCATGTACAAGCAAAATGCATTTTACCAATATTTGTCTTTGTACAGTAATTGGAGTTTAGTAGATTAATTAATATCTTCAAAGAACGAGACTATTGAATCAATGTGGGCCTCCAGATTTAAATTATATATACTCAATGTACAGTAATTCTCTAAGTCACATCTCCTTTTCTACAAAGACTAACTTTTTTGCATAATGAAATTCATAATATCACAACAACTTTGCTGGGTAATTTGTTTTTTTCTTCATAAGTTTTATAACTCTGTATTATACAAATAAACAAACAGAAAAACCCCTAAAAATAACTGTAATCAGGTTGGTTTCACGTGTCCCCAGGAGGTAGGTGAATAAAAGCAGACATACAAGTCTCGTGGTTGTTCCAACCTTGATTACGTTTCTTCTGTAGGTGGAGGCCGAGTCCGGCCGCTGACACACAGAGACAGGCGGAACTCTTTTTAGATGTAGGCTTCCTCGTTGGCAGGGTTCTGGTTCTGGTTTTCTGTCTGCTGGTCTGGGCCATTTTCCTGAGCCTTCACCATTGCCAAAGGCTTGATCATCATCCGCAGACGCTGAGAAGAGGATGAGTAGCACAGCTGGTATCACAAAGCTCAAGAACTCACTGATGGTGTTGAAATAACAACAAGAAATTGTCATATAGCTTTTGTAAGGACTCAACAGCTGCAAAGTTTATGATCAAACCCATTAGCTGCAACGAAACACGCCAGCTGTGAGCTTGATGAACGCCTGGCCTCTGGCTGTCAGAGACCCGATTCCCCAGCGTGAAACCATGCAATAGGAGCTGATGCATCCTGAGACAAACACAGGCTGCTAACGACACCAACAAAGCTTCCATGGACCAAAACCACAAGGTCCAAAAAAGAAATTCAGAGCTCCCCAAACTTCCAGTGTTCTCCAATGTGGCTGCTGCTGGACCCAGGCTCTCCAGCAGGCATTTCTATGGAGTGTTTGTGAGAGTCAGCCTGGGTGCAGAGCGCTAATCAGATGGCTGATTGCTGCAATTAGACAATCAGCCATCAGCTGGTGCTGCAGGATCCGACACCTGCACAGCGCCTCTGATAGCCTCTGCTGCACTGCCTGCAATTACAGCCCATTTCCTCTGTCAGCGGCTACCGAGCTGTATCTGTCACCGGGGACTGCACAGACTCAGCCCACCGTGAATGACTGCAAATCAAAACGCTCTGACTGTACACTGTGCAGTATGAAGGAAAGCGGTGTTATCAGTCATTGATTAGAAGCACGGGGTCGATAAAAACGCAGCATCGCGCTACGTATGAACGCACGTCAGCTGCTGAACTCTGGCTGTCACAGCAAAACAAAGCCATTAAAAATTGTTTAACAGAACCAATTAAAAATTCTGTTTCACTAATCCCTTTATCACTGCTCTGCTCTTCATGGCCGTTCCTGATGTCTTTACCCAGCATGCTGGGTGTTTGCTGCACAGCCACTGGCTGCAGCTTAATGACAGAACAGAACCACGTTGGGCTGAGCTCAGTGCTGGCACATCCAGTGTGTCTGTTAGCGGCTAAATTACAAATTGAATTCCAAATAATAATCTCAGGTATACTTCCGCTCTGTTAAAGCTAATGAAGAGGATGCAGATCCTGAGTTAATATCTTCTGCTTCACCACATCTCTTTTGTGCTGACCTTAAATGTTAATCTAAGCTTCACTACATGGAGGGAAACGTCCTTTTCAGTGGAATCCACAGGGCCTGTGTATAACATCTACATTTCAGCAGCAACCTCCAAACACACCGTCGTGCTCCTGCATGAGACGGGCCGCCCTACAGTCAGCGGTAATACTTGAGCTGGAGCAAAAAAAAAGTAATCCACTTGAAACTCTCAACATGCTCTGCTGTGCTGCGGACTGCAGATTAACGTTCAGACCAGTTAATCGATGTATGAAATGCTAAGCGGTAGGATCAGCGATGTGTATGTTCTGGGAAATCTGCAGCTACTCCACTGCACACGCTCTCGGTATTTATACACCAGCATACGTTGGAAAGTCTAGAACACCTCCTTCATGCATTTCAGCGTCTCGTGGCCCCACTGGCTTTCTTTATAAAATCAGTTTTGTGATGTGACGCAAACGAGTCCAGCTTAAAATAAGGTGAACGTGTGGGATGATGGGAGCTCACCTCTTTGTATGTGCCTTTGAGTGTGAGGAACATGTAGCCCATGTATCCAGGGATGAGCGTCATGGAGGAGAGCGCCATGCACCAGCCCACCCCCTGACCCCAGGCTGGGAACACGTAGTCGCCCATCGTGAGGGGAACCATCTGCACTGCACTGAACAAGAAGACTCCCTGGTTGACAGGAGGGACGACAGGGTTAGGGTTCTAGCAGACGTCAGCCTCGTCGTTATGATGGCCGACATGTTGAATGCAGGCAGAGCTGCAGCGCTGCACAAGCTCTAAACATCTGTTCTAAACTCTACACATACATGAACATTTACAGTAAGACAGTAAAAAATCATCTGGTTTGATGGCGTTTGGCCACAACAGGCACACTTTGTCATTCAAGCATCATCATATCATATATAAACAGAGAAACTAGACTTCCATGCAAACCTCAAAGTGACAGGAGAGCACGACGTAGTTAATGTTCAGATAGTTTAGCCTCGTTTACAATTAGATTTAAGAATTTCTTTGTAATAGGACAATGGTATGAAGTTGTTAGCTGTAGGAGGGTTTCAGCGTTGCATCTGTCGCCTTCTTCACAAGTGTCATCTGACATGTGTGACGTGTGTTTATCAGTCAAAGGAATTCTTAAATCTACTAATAAACGTCTTTGCTACATTACTTGTTTACAATGGTTCTACCGGGCCTGGACCTGGGTTCTCATAAACCCACATACTGACCTGTGATGGAGGACTCTAACCCTGGACCTGGACCTGGGCTCTCATAAACCCACATATTGTAACCCTAACCCTGTTTCCTGCTCACATCTGGTCGGTTGTCAGTGACAGCACATTGCAAACACTTACGGCCACGATGAGTGGAGTGAAGACAACCCAGCAGGCCTTCCACCACATGCAGGGCCTGTAGCCGATCATCTCCTCAATGTTGTCGTAGAATTTGTTTACACCTGCAACCAAAACAGCACAGTGAATTCTGTAGATTGTAGATTCAGTCTATTATTCATAGTTGACTTTTCTCTGACTTTTTGATGTTGGAGCTTAAGAGCTCCGAGCAAGTTGGTAAAACAAGACAGAGATGTTCATCTTGGACATGTTTGCTTTGTCCTTCATATTATTACTGAGACAAAGTGTGGCTCACCGTAGAACCATGAAATCGAGATGCACTCAAAGAAGACCAGGAAAAGCAGGGACATGCCGCTGGCAGAGTAGTAGTCAAACAGCTTAAACACATACAGGCCACCCTGCAAACAGAGCAGCGAACAAGGAAAGAGGAATGATTGGGCAGAAGAAAAGACGGGGGAGAAATAATAGAAGACGCAATTATATGCCTGTGCAGGACGCAGCTAAACTGGTGGAGTGGAACGACATCCAGAGCGAGAGCACCAGCGGCTCTGGCTGGTGTGGCTGAGCGACGTCTCAGTGGCGAGGACAGAGGAAGCTCGTTACTGAGACCACACAGGAGCAGAGAGGATCAAACATCAATTTGAGACGCTGCCATCTCCAGTTTCTTCCACCCATCGAGCCGTCGCGGGGACCTGCTGCAGCTCGTCCACCTCCTTCACGGCTCTGTGAGGCTGGATGTGCTTAGTGCTGGCCGGAGCAGCGATCAGGGACACTGCCTTGTTCTAAGAGGGCTGTGAATGCAGCATGATGGGATCCAGTGTGGCAGGAATAGAGGGACGATTCAGGGTCTCTAAGTGTCACAGTTGAACAAGACCCTACAGTGATTTAGTCACTTTTCGCTCCCGAGGAGACACACAGAAGCATCAGCTGTACCTTTGGTTTCAACTACTGCTGAACATTCAGGACTCTGGACTGCAACTGGTCGGTTTGCACAAAGTAAATCCAGGCCAGCAGTCCTGGCTGGACCCACTTCATAGTGCAGCATTTAAAAAAAACAACAACAGCCCTTACATTTGCATTAAAATGTTCGATGTAGACTAATACGACTCAGCTGGCAGACAACCAGCTGGATGTCAGCAGACAGCTGTAACATAAACAGGAATAATTACAGCGTTGGATATAATGCCCCACCAATAAATACATAAAGACAGAAAACAGTAGATCAAAACAGGTTTTTGAAGGTTGGAATTCACATTTTATACATAACCATAAAATAAATGGAGATGTTTAGTGCTCGTTACCAGACTTGATAGGATTCTGATGATAAGCTATGGGGGCAGATGTTTTACCTCCAAGAGACTAATGGACCACTTTAATTACTCGAGGAACTGGGTAGAAACAGACTCTGTAGATTCAAGTAGGACTCAGATATTACAGTGTGGATCAACTCAATCACTATGTGGGCTGTGAACAGTAACAACGACCAGGCGCTGATGAAAACAGAAAAATCTGATTGACTGATTGACTTGGTGATGATGGAGCTCTAAGAGCAGTGGAGCTTGTTGGTGATGATGGAGCTCTGAGAGCAGTGGAGCTTGTTGGTAGTGATGGAGCTCTGAGAGCAGTGGAGCTTGTTGGTAGTGATGGAGCTCTGAGAGCAGTGGAGTTTTGTATCAGACTAATCCTGATCATGCCGCTATAGGAAAGGACATGGGGTCAATGGAAACGGAAGGCTGTGATCCTTTGGGACCAGCAAATTAAATCAGAGGACATTCTGCACACAAAGGTGATATTTTGGAGGTTTGTGACGTCTACACAGGGCTCATCCTCTGAGGAGCATGAATGTGTTGAGCAGAACTTGGTGCTATCTGCTCAGACTGTGCTTTAATTGACTGTAATGACAGGAAGTGGTTTCCTTATGACCTGACCCTGACAAAAAGCTCCGAGGATCACAGAACACTTCTGAACACAGATTCATCTGCCTTCAATATGCAAAGCAGATTTCATGAACTGTATTAGAGATAGCACATCTCATGAACTAAAGTCAGTTCTCCTTTTCTCAAGGATAATGTTCTAGTGACTGGTGGAGCAGGACAGTGTTTGGTGGTTTCTAAGATAATCCTCTATCAACGGGAGCCGTTCGTTCTGATGCTACGCTGCATGACGGGCTGCCAGAAGGTGCAGAAGCATCTTGCTGTGTCGGACAAATGAGAGGACGAGCCGAGTGGTAGCCATGTGCTTGTTTGGCCCAGCGGCTACACAGAAAACTAGTGAGATCGTGGCTGTAAACCTGCTTCACGTTGTTTGCCAACCAAAACAACATGATTCTAAATGACCTGAACCAGCTAGACGACGAGGTACCATCTCAGGAGTATGATCCTATGACCTTTTTACTTAGATGCTCTGTGGATTCACAGTAGGGCCACTTGGCAAGCTGAGTTGACATGTTCTAGGTTACTGGGTCAGCTGCTGAGGTGAACCCACTGCTGTCTGTGGACATCTGGAGAAGGCCTGTGACAAAGTCAAAACCAGAGAAGAGGAACCAAGCAAACGCAGGCTCAGTACTGACCTGGACTTGGCAGCTGATATAAACCTCGTCAGTCTGTCAGGTCGGTCCTTTAATAACCGGTCGTGTGTGACAGTCGGTGCGTACCTGTGTGATGTTGGACAGTCCGATGATGTAAGAAACAAGGCAGACAGCTGCAATGAAGAGCTCTCTACGTTTCCGGAGGACCCGAGGGAATTCATCCACCAGTGCAGTGATGAAGCCTTCCACAGTACAGAACTGGAGAGACGGAGAGTCATGTGGACACTGTTATGTAACACCGCCGCCACAATAAAAGCCTGCTGAGACGTCCTACATTACAGTCAATGCTGTTAACATATTATGAAGATTTCCAACCAGGAACAGAAGAATCCTGTGTTTATATCAGCTCCAGCTAAAGTTTCTAAACCATAGCATAGCTTTACCTGGCTGTCGATTCCCAGCATCAGCAGCATGGAGAAGAAGAGTATGGCCCAGAGTGGAGAGATGGGCAGCTTGGTGACGGCCTCCGGATACGCCAGAAACGCCAAACCAGGTCCTGATTAAAGACAAATGTGAGACGTTGCAGCTATTGTGGGACGTGGCTCATGCGGGTTATGACTAAAGAAGTCTAAAAACGTGTGACTAAATCGCATCATCCCCCATTTGACCACATTTACGAAGCTGCTATGATAGTACAGAATCTGTAATACTGGATCAGACAAGAAGACGCTGCAGAGAGTTTAAGTCCATCGTGTCCTTTAGTGGAAAAAGTGGTTTTGACTGAATGTCAAACCGAGTATTTGCAAAGGACAGAGAGTTCTGCCAAATGACAAAGCATTTTCCTCTTCTGTTAAACCCAGAACTTTTATAATGCCAAATAAAAGCCTTCCTGACTGAAAGAAGAACGTATTTAACAAATTTCAGCTGCTATTTTCGTGGCCATAGTATCTCTTGCTTGAGCCTTTTGTCGCTATCGAGTTTCAACATTGATTGCAATTACCTGAGGCGGCCACATCAGCAATGGGTCTCTTTGTTACGTTGGCCATGAATCCCACGATGGAGAAGATGACAAAGCCGGCGAACATACTGGTGAAGGAGTTGATGCAGCAGACGATGATAGAATCTCTGTAGGGGAGAGACAAAGCACAAGGCAGCCATTGTCACGCCGGTATCAACTCCTTATCAAGCCGTCACACATTGTCGGGAGGCGTGAGGGAGACGGGAGGGGAGAGGTGGAAAACCATTCTGTGTTCTGCAGAAGCACAGCAGCTGAATACATTTATATTGACCTGTTCTTTTCAAACGGCGAAGCCTCGCAGCAATTCTACCAATACACATCATTTGTGCTGCTGGCCAGTGTTGACGCTACAAGGGAGCAGAGGCTGAGGCTCACCAAACGTCTGAGGGCTACACACAGGCCAGAACCAAAATAACAGAACAACTGACAAGCAGAGGCTCAAATAGTCCCAAAATAGACGGTACAGCACATAGCATGTTGTCACAAACAGCAGAAATAATCCCAGGGAGAGACGTGGGCACCGTCTCCTCTGGACAGGATGCGAGTGACCGTGTAGATGTCCCACCTCATCTGAATGAAGATTTAATTCAGGAATAATTCAATGAACCGGAAAGAAAACACATCTAATGGCCTAATGGCCTACCTGTACACGTTGTTATTGAAGGGATTGTAGCTGCCGAGAGCGATCAGGGAGCCTAATCCCAGCCCGTAGGAGAAGAAGATCTGAGTGGCAGCATCGAGCCACACCTGAAACACATCAGAGACGCTCAGGTGAGCAGATCTGAACATGTAGCTGTGGAAGGTTGATGCTTAGTAAAGATTTTTGGAAGAACAAATGACCAAGAACAATTAGATTTTATGGCTTCTATGACCTCCTTTGTTCATGTAAACAGTGTAATGGACTGAAGTGGTAAACATGTTGTTCCCCTTGTAAATCTGGATAAAATGGCAGGAACAAGACAAAACATGTGTTCCAGCCATCTGAAAGGCCCGAGTGCTGTTTGGTTCTACTTGCTGCTGTCCGATCCACTCTCATCTCACTGCATCCCATTTTCAGTCTGACCTCGTCTTTCCAGTCTGGCTCATGATGCTCAAGGGAAACTATCAGTAAACTACACAACAGGGATGTTTCTGTGCCCGTGAGCTAATAAATATCTTTGTCGTATTTGCTGATTGTTCCTGACAGTATCTGTGGGTGTTAAATTAATGACGTGCACGGCCTGAGACCCGTAACACTGAACACGGTACACGTCTACGTGGTGATGCCACTCCTCGTGCGCCTACATGCAGCTACAGTAAGGAACCTATGCAACGCACCGCTGTGTGCTGCTAACAGCCTGTGAACAGCCTGTGCTCCTTTACTTTGGTGATTCATAAATAGCTGTGTGCATTTCTACAGAGAGAGAGAGCATACCTCAGACTGCTTCAGTTTTTCAAAGTCTGGTGTGATGTAGAACAGGATTCCATCAAAGGCACCAGGTAGAGTGATGCCACGACAAAACAGGATGAACAGCATGAAGTAAGGGTATGTGGCTGAGAAGTACACCACCTGTGGGACACAAGATGGCTGTGAGGGAAGCTGTGTTATCTATCTAAACCATAACTAACAGCAAGTGGGTTGAACTGCAGCTGAAGCAACAAAACGCCGGCAAGTTGTTCATTTCTTACTGTGTTACTGTGGCACCATAGCGGCAGCACAGTGCCCTAGTGTGGGCTGCTCCCCAGAGCCAGGGTGACCCCACAAAGACTAGGTTCAGCACACTCCCACTGCACCATTTCCCTACTTATCTGATCTAGTTTTACCCAAAGTCAACACTGCTCATGTCATTCATGAGCTACTGAATAGGAAAAGAAGCAGCAGAGGATCTGTGTTTGGCTCTGCTTTAAACTGCTCACAGCCTCCAAAATCCTCCAACAGAAAAATAAACAGACATGCAGATATACACATCTACAACGTTAAAGTTTTGGTTTGTAGCTCTGCTGCCAAGTTTAAACTGTAGAAAATGTGGCTCCTCAGGATA